AATCAATGCCCTCAAAAATCTTACTTTTGTAACTATATTGTTACAAACAGGTAATACAAATATGGCTGATGAAGAAGTTCGAGACTTATTAAGAGGTCTAAAGCTAGAAAATGTCATTGAAACTTTTGAAAGTAAGTTTTGTTTTATTTTTAATATTGCTTGTCATGTTTTATCATGCTCATATATATAATAATTTATTAAGGTCCGGTTACACCAACCTTGCATAATATTTAATTTTTGCTTAACTCACTTTTTGTCTCTTTCTAACTGTCTTTTTAACTATACGAAGAGTAAATATTGCTTGTGTTTTAAAGGACAAATACATGTATTTATTAGGATATTTTTTTGCATTATTTTACCTTTTATAGTTACAGTATGCAAAATTTTGGAGATTCTTATTTTAATAAATAATTTCAAATAAATTGTACTCTATATTTTATAGATGATTTATAAGATATGACAAAAGTTAAGTTTTGGTGCTTTATCTTTTTAGAAAACATGATTACTATGGATACATTAGAACATTTATCGGAATCTACTATATCTGAATTGATACCAATTATTGGTCAAAGAGTGATATTCTTATCTTATTGGAAAAAGCATTATAATATCAAAAGTACTTGTCAAACTATAGAAAATTCACCACCAAAAAAAAAAATGGTATGTTCTCTGCTTTTCTCAAATATTTCTTATTTCTCTAACAATTATAATACAAATAAGTAATTTTTACTTTGCCAGAAAATAATAAACAGTTAAGAATTTTAATTGACTATGTACTGGCAATGATTATCATCGTGGCAACGATTATAATCGTGACATCGTCACCGCGTTTCGACCAAAGATTCTGGTCGTTCTAAATTGATATACTTTATATATAAGCATCTTAATTAAATATTACATTCATTGCGGAAAATATTATTTCAGCCAGGGTGAGGTAATATTTTTCGCAATAAATGTAATATTTTATTAAGATGCTTATATATAAATTACATCAATTTAGAACGACCAGAATCCTTGGTCGAAACATGGTGACGACCTGTCACAATTATAATCGTTGCCACGATTATAATCATTGTCAGTACATAACCAATTAAAATTCTTAACTAAATTATAATACATATTTGTATATAATTTTAGTGATTTTGTACATAATACATATTATATATAAAATCAGTAATTATATAAGTTTTTAGTTATAATATATGCTTTAAAACCAACGAATTATTGTAGCTTGGTTGTTGAAAGTTTAATTAAGTTCAATATATTTTACTTACCATTCTCTGCTATGACGAAGTGTAATATGCAAATTTTGATTTCATCTTGTTCCACTTTTTTATCGTAAAAAATAGTTCTTAACAGAAAGGGAATTTTTACGATCTTTTCTAGAATTTATACATGCTACATTTATTATAAAAAATTATGTTATTAAAATTTAAAAAGTAAATTTATAGCCATTGTCTGTAATTTTATTTTATTTTTATCATGCAAGTAGTATTATAAACATTAAAATCTTTGTAGGAATTTTTTGTAACTATCAAATTCTGCATTGTTTTTTCCTGTGATTTATATCAGATCATATAATAGCAAAATTATAATTATATTTAGGAAGACTGTATGTAGTGTATATAAAAAAACATTTTTTATAAATAAAACATCGGTTTAATGTATTTTTTTAAATAATAGAAATTACAAGAAGAAAAAGAAGAAGAGACTGTAATCAATTTTAATGAATCTGTGATGCCTTTAAAGGATCTACTTTTAAAATATAAAATAGGATGTCAGATTTTAAGTTATTACGAAAGAGAAAATGAATTGCAAGAAAACTTCAGAAATAAATTGTGTGATATTATCATTAATGATATTGAAGATAAAAATACAAAGTATGTTTTTAAATATTCTATCTCATTTTTATATTAATATATTTTTTAATTTATATAATACTTATAATATATTTATATACTTTTACTTTTATATATATAGATTAACAAACAATTTGGCTGATTATATTTCAAAAATGATAGTTTCTATTTTTCCTACTGAAGTAGCAACAACGTATTACATCCCACCTATTTCAAAAAAAGATTCTATTAGAAAAAAATCTGTGATTGCCCGTGGTAAATTAATGAATATGTGGCGAAATAGATGTACTATGTATAACAAATTTAAAGCTAAATTAAAAAGAGAAGAAAATAAAGAAGAAGATGATGGTATGTTTATTGATATAAATATAAGAGAAATTTTCTTTCTGTAATTATTTTTGAAATTATATTTGATACTAATACTGTTAAAAGCTCCATTAAGTCTTATGGTCAAAATAGTGGTAAAATATAATTTAAAATTGATAGACTAATAATAATTTTGTATTGTTTTGATGAAAAACATTCTTATTGTTACTAAAAAACTTTTTTGGCAAATATCTGAGCGTTTTGTTTTAAATTATTTAACCAATTATCTTTGAAATAAAACATTTTGTGAAAAAATGTTCTATATAAAAGTTGTACAGTTTTAAGGAAGACAAATAATGATAAAGTTAATTTTCGAAAATATATCGACCATTTCTTAAGGTTACATGAAGATTATTGAAATTTTTTTAAATTAACTTGTACAATTTTGTTATGTAATATGATTCCTCTAATTATTCTACATATAAAAGTATTTAGGTAGAATCATCAAAAAATAAATAGTTTACAAGATATTTAATATTTTATGCGTCAAAATGCACAGAAATAAAGTCTAAAATACCTCGTAAACTATTTATTTTTTATTAATTCTGCCTTCTCTCTCTCATACTTTTATATGTAAAATAATTAGAAAAATTATATTATGTAAAAAAATCATACAATTCTATTTAAGAAATCAACAATGAGCTATATGTAATCTTAAAAGAATAATTTTTGTGAAAATTGATTTTATCATTATTTGTCCCCTACAAACGCTATAAATTTAGAAATTACAAAATATATAGAAAGTGATTAATTTTTTATTGGTAAACTATTAATTCTAAATTATATGTTCTATTCGGTTTGAGTTTGTGGAACTGAATAAAGTAAATTATAATTACTTTTAAAATATAATTTAATTTTAATATATAATTTAATTTGCAGCTTTACAGGAAATAGATAATAAAGTGCAAGAAAGTATCAAATGGTTAGATGAGAATGTAGCTCCATGGGAATTAGTTCTCCAACATTGGCTGCTTACTTTTGATATCAGGCGCAAGGACCTTAATAATTCTGAAGAAAAAACTTTGCATAATCTCCTTAATAGATGGTCTGTATTAAAACATCCACAAGGATATCAATTAATTGTTCAAGATTTCGACGCAATGAATCTAAGCAAAGTCAGTTTAGATTTAAATATTTGGCAACAATTTATGGATGTAATAATCAAATATTCAACATCTAACACCAGACATGACGAAGTAAATTTAATGTTGGAAAAATTAAAAGATAAAGACATTTCAACCGGTAATTATTTTTTTATTAATAATATTTATCTATTATTATAATTAGAAAAATATATACATTTAATAATAATTAAGAAATTGATAAATGTACAAAAACTAATTAGAAATATGAATATATTAAGAAATAAATTTACTTTTTTAGATACAAAAGTGGCTGTAGGTCTTATGTTACTGCCACACTTAATTCCGCCAAAAGGATTGAAAAAATATAAAGGCAAATGTTACAAACCTTCGATAGCTAATGCCAAAGAGAGCCTGATAAAACATGCAAGCGTTAGTACAGTTTAAAATTAATTAAAGTTCTATAATAAAATTTAAGTTCCATGTCACACAAATTAGTTTACTGTTATAATATTTTTTATTCTGTATTTTTAGATTCCTGGAGATATGACTCTAATCAAACAAGAAGCAAGAAAACATGCTGAGATGTTGAAAATTACGTTGCAACCGTATATAATTGTTCTTGGGTCCCCTTATGAAATTAAAGAATCTTACGTTCAAGTGGATGATATTTTATACAAAACAAATAGTACTTTAGAGGCAATCGATATATGTTTTAAAACATTTCATGTTTTTCAAGTAAACTATCCTATAATGAGTGAACATCTTTGGATGTTAATCCAGAAAGGTATTTATAATTTTACTACAAAATGGGATTCTATAATTCCTAATATAGAACATGTACTAAGTAAAGTATCCAAGTCTTTTGAAAAAAGTGTTAATTCTGATACTATTACTGTGTAAAACACTTTTAAACTGGTTATTATTATTAAAAATAATATTTTTTATACTTATAATAAGTTGCGTTTCGTCTCTCACGACGTTTGTGCCCCTCGAATCGGGTTGGTTTCTCTCTGTTTCGCTCCCCACTCGTTCTCTTACCTCTATCGGTGATAACGTTTGTCGAAAAATATCCTATCGTGGAAAATTACGACTGCTTGGTAGAGCGTGTGTTGCGTTCGGTAATGCGTACGGGAAGAGCGAGGGCAATGTGTGCATTCTTTTGTTCTACAATTACAATGGCATGCAAGAACTTGTTAATTGGTTCATTCTAGAAGTTTAATTTAATTAAGTTCTTTCACACTAAAAAAACATTTATAAGTTACATGTTTACTGGTTCTATGCCAATCTATAATTTTGTACAATGATTTTATGTTTTTTTTGTGAACAAACATTTTTATCCATGGATACCTTAATGTTACATATAAAAGTGAGACACAAGTTGCTTATTTATTCTACAGTTAAGTGTAATTTCAAAGATTGCACACATATATTTAATAACATTTATAATTTACGGAAACATGTTTTAAATACACATATTACAACATCTTTACAGAATGCTTTTGTAAAACAAAATGAAACATTAGTCTCTCAAAATATACTAAAATGTAATGTCAAAGATACCCTTCAGTTTTTTCATAATACAAATTTATTGTCAGATGCGATTGATAATACAGGTGAAATTAATATTGAACATTTTAAAAAAATAGTTTCCGAATATTGTGTTCGTTTTGTAACAAAATTGTATGCTAGTGGAAATTTAAATCGAAAAGTTATTCATGAAATTATAACAGATATAGGTATAAATTATTTTTCTGTGTGTTGTGATATTTTATCTATAAAATTTAAAGATGTTACAGATTTGGATATTTTTTTCAATATTATAAAGAGTGGCTTTGAACCTTTCAAATCAGAATATAAAACATTACAGTATTTACAAGAAAAAAATTGCTTGTTTTTACCAAAATTAATACCTATAAATTCTATTTTGTCATTTAGTAAAGTTAAGAAAAGATCATATCAATCGCATCTACAACATCAGAAATTAAGCATAATACCTTTGAAGGTCATATTACAAAAATTTTTAGAGCTTCCAAATGTATATCAAAAAATAATATCATATATTGAGAAGAGCAAAAAAAGTGAATCGTTAAATTCTATTTTCCAAACTGATTTTTGGAAATCTGTTGAAAAGAATGCAGGTGATAAATTTATCTTGCCCCTTGTGCTATATTTTGATGACTTAGAAATTAACAATCCCTTGGGTTCTTGTAAAAATAAAAGTAAGATTGGTGCAGTTTATTGTGCTATTGACAGTTTACCAAATAAGTTCTCCAGTTTATTAGAAAATATATTTTTAATGCAATTGCATAATTATATGGATCATAAAGCTTTAGGAAATAAAAAAATTTTTGCTCATGTTATTAACCAAATTAATGAACTTAATACTAATGGAATTTCTATTAATGTAGAAGGAAAAACAATACAAGTTTACTTTATTCTGTCTCGTATACTAGGTGATAACTTGGGACTTAATACAATTCTGGGCTTCACCAAAAGTTTCAATTCGTCTCATTGCTGCCGTATATGTTACATTTCTAAAGATGAAATGCATAATACCACGATTGAAAACAATAATTTATTAAGAAATGTTGAAAACTATAAAGAGCATTCTATCGAGAAAACTCATGGGATTGTAGAATACTGTATTTTCAATAATATTATAAATTTCCACGTAACTAAAAATATATCAATAGATCCTATGCATGACTTGCTGGAGGGTGTTTGTAGATATGACATTGCTAAAATTTTATATGACCTTATATGTAAGAAGAAAGCATTTTCTGTAGAGATACTTAATGAAAGAATTAAGAATTTTTGTCATTCATTTGATAAAAATATCCCTATTATAAAATTAGAATCTATAACAAATAAAATAATCATTTTATCTGCGTCAGAAATGCATTATTTAGTTTTAAATCTTGGTCTGTTTATAGGCGATTTAGTTCCTACTAACAGCTCAGTTTGGAAACTTTATGTGATGTTACGTAAAATAGTCAATATTTCTATGATAGAATCTGTTACTAATGATATTATAGATTCATTTGCAATATTAATATCTCAATATTTAGAATTATATTTAAAGATTTTTAAATGTTCTTTCAAAGTAAAACACCATTATTTAACACATTATGAAAGAATTATGCGTGAATTTGGGCCTTTAAAGAATTTTTCCACAATGCGATTTGAAGCCAAGCATAAACAAATTAAGGAGTATAGTAAAGTTATGACTTCTAGAAAATGCCCTGCATATTCTCTATCGTTAAAACATCAAATGCAACTTTGTCACAGATTTATTTGTAACGAAGGTTTTTTAAAACGAGTTTCCTATGGCTCATGTATTTCAAAATTACATTTCGTAAGCGATTATAATAATGTAAAATGTTTGTTACCAGTAGATTTTGACGATTGCTATTGTGTTTCATGGGTAAGATTATATGGAACTCGTTATGAAATTGACAATTTTATAAATATACAAACATACAATTCTCCAGTTTTTGGAAAAATTAAGTACATTATATTTGATAAAACTAAAAATGTATTTTTTTTATATTATAAGTTTATTAATATATGTTACTATGAAAACTATGGAGCATTTAATGTAAAAGAAAATAAGGAATGGGGGTTTATAGCTCAAAATAACCTTATAGATTATAAAGTTTATAATGTTCACATTATGTCAGATAACAAACATTATATTCCTTCTTTTTTATAACTATGATTTATTAAAAGCACATAGAGGATTAAAATTTTGTGCATTCTACAAATTTTTTTATTTTGTCACTTACAGTGTCTTTTTTTTATTTGTCTATTTTTTGTATTTCTGTAATAGACATTACAAGTATAAACTTTTTAGATACGATATAATGTACTTTCCTTTTCTTTTTTGTAATTCTTTTATATTTTTTAATATTGTGTGTATGTTCACGATTGCGATACTATGTTTGTTTAGTTGTCTATAAAAATTTAAGAAGAATTAGTCTTTATATATAACACGTATTTGGGTATATATTTGGTTATACGAATTTTGTAATTTGTATAAGTATTTACATTACAATAAAATGTTTATACATATCAAATATTCTTTTTATTCTATACAGGGTGTTCAAAATTCCCGAAAAAGAATTATATTACCCGATTATACAGTC